TGCCATATTTTTTGTTTCCCAAACGCTGCGGCAGTTGGTAAAGTCCAAATTTGGCACGGCCGACCTCGTGTCCCTTGAATCATTTTTGAGCTGGTTAATTGTGCAGCGACACAATTCGCTAAATGCCTCCAGTGTGGATGTATTGATTCGTCTTTTATGTGCTGTGGTGAAGCAGGGCTTTTGTGATGCCCCGGAGCTGCAGAGTTTCCCTCACCGGGTGACAGCTGCGTTGAAGCTGGAAGAATCCAACTGCTCGGACGGGCACATTGCACTCTCGTGTGCGATCCTTGTCGCCTTTATTGAAGAAGCGGAAAGAGCAGAAGGAACGGCACGCAGTCTTATTAACCACAAGCGAATGATTACATGCTTTCGCAATGCGTGTCTTCTCCCCATATTTCGTGCCGCTTCGCAATGCCTGAAGCGGATCCAGCAGACGGACGGAAAGGCCATTTGCGGTTTAGTAGCACTAGTGAAGCGCATTCTATTGTTTGATTTTACGTGTTCATGCGATGAGGCGGCAGATGATGTCATGACATGTGAGTTTCCTCTGGAATGGGCCGCGGACCTTGTCGATCAGGGCCTGCTTGTGAAGCTGTTTGATTTGTACGCCACACCAGTGACGAACCCGAGTTTTCTGTGTGACGTGTTGGAGGCCATCACGCCCCTTGTGTCGGTAAATGCGCCCCTCTACTCCTCTCGACAACAGCAGGCGGAGTGGATGAATAAGATTCTTTCTGCCACATTGTCTATTATGGAGTCGCGCTCTCACTTGGAAGAGGCCACGGTTCTGCGGGAATTTTGCCGTCTACTGAATCGCATTAAACCAAATTTTACGATTGATGAGATGCGGAAGGCTCCCTGCTACCAGCGGTGGGTTCGAGCTGTCGCTGAGTTCACGAAGTTATGCTTTCAAAACTGGCATCACGCACGACAGTCATTTCTTTCTCTGACTTCTATTTGGGCCAAACTGGTAGGCTCTCAATCATACTGCAAGGACGGGTGTACATTATTTGAGCTGCTCGCACCAGATGTGTGCCTCTCGTACATGATGTCACACCAAGAGCAGGCGGTGCGGTTTGCTACGAGCGGAGAGGCATCTTTATTTGGGGAATACATTTTAGATGAGGACGCGGAGACGAGTTCACTGGAGTTTGAATTCGTATCTCAAATTCTGCGTTTCTGTGGGGAGGAGGCGGAAAAGTACATTGCCAAGGAAATATCTTCTTTGCTGGAGGCGCTGAAAATACCTGAAGTCCGGTCATCACCGCAGTTGTTTTGTGTGTGTGAGCGCCTGGCGTTTATCATCACTCTCGCCAGTTCATGGCTGGGTTCGTACCGCTTCAGCCGCAATGGACGTGCTTTGGATTCCACTGTGCTGCTTGCTTGCTTGAATGTTGTCAGACAAAGCTCTCAGATGAATTTTTCCCGTTCCCTGCCCTCTGCAACGAGCCGTCACTTCCACAGATCTCTTTTAGCGTTTCTGCGTTTTGCGTGGCATATAACTCTTTTGAATAGGATGGATGGGTCGAAAAAACTGCAGGAGTCGTTGCAGCTTTCACTCGCCGCGAAGGATTTTGGCACACTTGCTACTTTTATTTTGGAACTGGTGGTGGACGAAGTGTTGGATTGCGTGTGTTCTTGCAGCGACCAGACCGTGTTTGAAGCCATACACCTGTTGAGTGAGATGGCTCAATCACCCTCCACGGCGGTGGTGTTGAGGAAACTGCCTCAATTTGATGACACTCGACTTATGCTGGATGCGAGCAACGTGAAGACATCGAGGAACGCGGCCGTGTTCTACAGAGTAGAGTACCACCTGTCACGTATCCGGGCACAAGTTCATTTTCTTGGGTGTAATTCAGAGTCTTCGAGGGCAGATTTTGTGCGGCCCTTGTTTGAGGAGCTTGAGATGTGCCTGAGAGGAGGGATGGCAGTTGCCGATGGCCAGTTGGATTCCTTCACTCGAGTCATTTGTTTGTGGCGGGGCGTATTTCGCTCGTGCGTTGGCCAAAATGAATACAATGTGCTCTTAAGACGTTTTTTTCCCTGCCTTTTTCTCCTGACGCAGCAGCTTCAGAACCAGCTGGGGACGGTGTGCGGCGTGCAGCTGCTTCGCTTGATCAATGAAATTACTGAGAACCGTTATCGTCGCATAAACTTTGGTGCCAACGGTGTGGAGGGATATCATCTTTTCCGTGAAGTCAGTAGCTCTTTGGAGATGGCAGTTCATTTGGTACGAAGGGCATTGGGATCCGGTGAGTTGTGCCTCGGGGAGTGGGGGTTGAAGTGCCTGAGGATATTGATTCATACGGGACGTAATATTCTGTCAGGGGGTTACTGTAACTTGGGGGTACTGCGCCTCTACGAAGACAAGGCATTGAAAACCTGCTTGACCGTCCTATGGCAGGCCATGATGTTAGTGGACCGTCACCGTTTCTGCCAATATGAGAAACTTGCAAAGGCCTATCTCATGCTCGCAGGTGAACTCCTACGGGAATTGCATTTGTGGTTTCTCTGCGAGGTACCCGTCGGGGAACTTCTCCACGTCATTCATATGTTGGAAATTTCTCTGGGCTATTACATCTCCGGTTCCGCGTCACTTGCATCGCAAAGCGCGGACGCGCTCGGTATATTCACAGGCGTGTTGTGCTGTGCGGAGTGTGACTCTGTGGAGCACCGGGACCGCGTTTGTGGCTCCCTGCTTCACGCCGATCCGAATCTCTTCTCACGCCTTTTACGGTTGACGTTGGATGTCGTCTTGTCACGGAAATGCCCATCGTCGAAGGCGGAGGTTCTTCTCCGATCGCTTATTGCCTTGGACGGGGAGTCGTTTCGGCGGTTAGCGGGGGAATTTGCGGAAATTGCCCTGTCGGCCGGCAAGGATGCGGAGGTGAGGGCGGCATTTGAGCTATTGGGCTCGAGTGCGTGTGAGTCCGTTCGCAAAAACAACCGCAGCCTGTTCACAAAAGAGTTTCAGCACTTTTCAACGCTTGTGACCGGCTGCCTTGGTTGATTTTTTTTCCCCCCATCAATGCCATTATTTGCACTTCTCTGTGTTGTATCACCCCGTTTCTGTTTTTTGTTGTTAATCTTCCTCTTGATAGTGAAGTTGTTGGTGCTGTTTGCGAGGATGCGTCACAATACCCGCGGGGAATTTTTATATAAACATGTGTATATTATTTACTGCTGCTTCTGGTGTTGATTCCGCCTCTTTCTGCCCTTTTCTTTTATTACTATTATTATTATTTGCTTTCTCTCACCCCCTTTTTTTTCCCCTCTCTCCACGGAAAGGAAGGGAACACGAAGGGAACGACGCATGAAACACATAGTGGGCGGGGTATTGCGAATGCAGCGCTGCGTCGCGTCACTCGCAGGAACGACATTTTTTGGCCAATTACGGGGCCCATCACAAACCCTCGCGCTCGGTTGCAGCTCCCGTGCGTACATGATGTCGGCCACCCCGTGCTGCCTCGGGAGACGAATCAAAGGCAAACGCTCACGGCACCGCGAGCCCGCCGAAGGCGACTGGTTGTGTCAGTGCGGCGAACTGAATTACAAGTCAAAGCGAGAGTGCTTCAAATGTGGCGCTCCCGCACCGCCCCTTCCGCCCGGTGTTCGGCGGCCATCGCTGCCCGGAGAAGACCCCCACGACTGGGCGTGTCCCTGCGGCCAGATGAACTTTAGGGGAAGTGTTGTGTGTCATAAGTGCCTGCAACCCAAACCGGCGCCCCCGCCACTCCCCGGAAAGGAGGTGACGCTGTGGACGTGCCCCAAGTGCAAGGGGGTCAACAGAAGCATTAGGAATTACTGCTTCAAATGCTCCGCACCGTCCCCATTACTCACATTTAAACCCGTTGTGTAGACATTGGATTGCACAGATGTGGAATTTGGTATGATACATTCACTTTTTTTCCCCTCACCCCGCCAAGGAGGTGAGAACAAGGAGGGCACCTGAAGCTGTTCTCATGCTGGCAGTATTATTTGAAGGGGTAAATATGACTGCTTTCACTTGATTTCTGTTATTTTTTTTTTTTTTTTTTTTTTTTCTTGTTGTACTAGCTCCCACCTTTTTTGCATTTCCATAGCGATAAAGAAACAGCAGGCCAAAGATGAACTCTGCGGCGCAGAATGCTCCCGCCATTTCACCCACCGCGACAATGTCCACAGGACCGCTTGATACAACATCGAAGAAACGACTTTTTATGATGCAGCGGGCGGAACGGCTTCGGGACCCAAAGGTGCGGCACATGGGCATTGACAAGGAAGCTCTTGATGATCAGGTGCGTGAAAAAGAGGCCCTACGGCGTCTTGAGCAGGAACGAAATGAATTCTTTGACCGACAGGCATTGCTGATGGACCGACATGCGCAGGCATTACAGAAGGAGGTGAATGAAATTCGGGCAGGGCGTGAAAAGGAACTACAAGACTACCGTGAGACATTCCAAAAAAAACACATGCGTCGAGAGTGGGATCTCAACGACCCCACTTGGAAGGTGAAGGATTTGCCTGCCCGTGTGGGCGACGATGATCCCCGCAACGGTGTCTCATCCCTGCAGAAGTTTGAGGGGGAAGATTTGGACTTTAAAAATCGTCGCCGGGAGCAGCAACTTCAGCAGCGGGATTGGGCTCAGCAGCAAGTAGAGGAGAAACTCGCCAAGAAGTGGATGGAGCAGGAGGCAAATCATGCGTTTGATGAGCGGAATGAGGAGGTTAACCGCCGCATCTATGAAGTGGAGCGAAATATTGCTGAACAGCGCCGGTTATCCCATAAGAATCAGGCCGAATTCAACAAGGCGTTGGCAGAACAGAAGCGTCGCGAGGCCATCCGTGACAAGGAGGAGGATACACGCAAGGGCCTGGAGGAGATTCGGTACCACCTCGAGGGAGACTTCCTTAACGAAACCGAAACCATGGTGGGTGAGCTTGGCAAAAAGGTGAAGTCCGATCGCTACAAGGGAATGACGGCGGAGCAGAAGGAGCAGTTGTACAAGGACCAGGCCTTACAGCGGGATGCCATGCGGCGTCGGCGGCTGCTGGAGGTGGAGGAGGAGAAGCACTGGGGACAGCAAGAGAACCTTCAACTGCGCATGGCGAACGCCCTGGAGAGACAGAGGGAGCGTGAACGCCGTGCTGAACGTGAGGCTGTTGCCGCTGAGCAGAAGAAGCAGAAGGAGGCAGCCGAAATTCGTCGGAAAAAACTAGATGAGCTTTACACTAACGCTGTGGATGAGGACTACTACAAGTACTGGGACCTCTGCATGTAGACCATACCCAACACACACAAACAGGGAGGGAGAGAGAGAGAGAGAAATAGTAGAAATCAAAATAAACCACGAACGACAACAAACCGGGGTGGAAGAAGAAAAGAAGAAGAAGGGAAATAAACGTAATAGATATGTCAATTACGATAGAAATATCTTGTTTTGTCGCTAGGCACACATCAGACGCCTGTATTTTGAGTCGTATACATATATGTATCTGTGTGTTGTTTCTTGTTGGTGTATGTATGTATTTTGAGTGTGTGTTTGTTTTTCTTGTTCCAATGTATATGTTTGTTTGTTTGTTTGTTGTCTCATCTTTTTTTTTTTTTTCTTTGAAATTTTTATTCTCCCTTTGAGCCATTTACTCATCTGCCGTGCATCCGGCGGTCAAATTTGATTTTATGCTTTTGTTGTTGTGGTGGTGGTGGCTGTTTTTATTGGGTGCATGCTTCTGGTATTTTTTTTTTCCCCCTCCCCCATATTTTCTTTTTTTTTTTTTTTTTGAATTTTGGCTTTTGAGGTGTCGTGCCTTTTTTTATGGCTTTGCGCAAAGAAGATACACGTAGCACGCAGGATGATTCTTGGTGTCGGTGACGGTACGTTTGCCATTCTTTTTGTTACCGTAATTGGAATTATTGTAACGCTTATTGGATCATACGTACAGCCGCGTTTGGCGCTGCCCATCGGCCTGGTCTGCTTTTTGTTGCCGTTTCTTCTCTACGCGTGTATCCTCTCCGCCCCGCACGGCCGCCTGCCCCCACCGCTGCCTGACACACCGTACAATAGAGAGCGACGGCTCCCGCCGGATGCAGTTGTGGTGGATCACCTTCTCCCTGTTCGCATTGGGGTGATGATCCTTCTCTTTCTTGCGTTCTTTGCAGCGGTGGGGTACCATGTCCTTCTTGTCATCTGGGAGCCGCCGTATAAGGCGCCGAGGGTGCGGTGTCTACGGGAGCAACTGAAGGAGTTGCACCCGACGTGGTATCGGTGACACCAATTAGGTGGGGCGGGTGGTTTTTCTTGTTGTTGTTGTTGTTGGTTTCCTCCTAAAGCGGTCCGAAGTTCTCCCAACGGCACTGTGCAGGTTGCCGCATGCACATACACATCTGGTTTCGTGTGAGCACGGCGTTCACGGTGTACTGTCACCTGGGGGTGTGGGGACCGTTCTCTTTTTTTCGTTGTTTGTGTCCACTTCTACACACACACACAGACACACAGTCTCTCTATTTTTCTCTTTATTTATTTTTTAGTTATTTTTGTTTTTAGCGAGAGGTGGAAGCGAAGAAACACGAAGGAAATAACAGGCAAAACAACCCAAAGCAAAAAGGAGCAAAGAAACAAAATTAATAGGAAAATCTTCTAACGCGTCGGTACCCTTTTCATGTCAGAGGATCTTGCGTACAAAATCATAGTGATTGGCAATGTTGGTGTGGGGAAAAGCAACGTGTCGTCGCGGTACTGTGACGGGACATTTTACGAGGACATTGTTCCAACCATCGGCATGGACTTCAAGTACTGCCATAGTACAACACTAGAGAAAAAACCACGCACCGTGCGGCTTCAGATTTGGGACACATCCGGTCAAGATCGTTTTGTCACTCTGACAACGGCGTTTTATCGAAACTGCAACGGTGTCATGCTTTGCTTCGACATCACAAATCGTGTCTCCTTTGAGGATGTGGATGAGTGGTACGATCGCCTGAGGACAAATTGCCCCAATATGCCACCCGTCATCTTAGTGGGATGCAAATTGGATCTTGTTCAAAGAGAGGATGTCAATGATGTCGGCATCTCGTTAGGGAGCCAACGGCAAGTGGAGAAGAGTGAGGCCGACGCGTGGGCGAGGAGCCACAACTGTCTGTGTTACTTGGAAACGAGCGCTAAGGAGAATAGAAACATCTCAGAGGCGTTTCAGCAGCTAGCAACATACGTGGCGCAGAGCACGACCCCACCACTGGAAGGGGGTCGCAGTGGAATCAACGGACGTCATGGAAGACCGATAAATCGTGAGATCGAGGGGAAAAAAGGCTGCTGCACCGCCTTCTGACGCCGTTGCAAAAACGGCGAGGGGGGAGGGGGGGGAGAGAGGGGAAAGGAAAAGGGAAGAAAAAAAAAAAAAGAAAAAAAGGAACAACACCAACTGGATAATACCGAGAGGCAAAAAAGAAAAAAAAGAAAAAGGAAGTTTGGAGAAGTCACGGGTTTTTTTTTTTTTTTTTCTTTTTTGACTGGAGTTTCTTTATTGTTGCTTTTGTTTTTTGATTCTCTTCAAAGGGTTTCTGGAGGGAAATGTGCGGCCCGGTGTGTGTGTGTGTGTGTCGGGGAGGGGGGAAAGGGGGCGCAGTGGAGGATGGTGCGTTTTGTTGAAATCTCCTGTTTTCTGCATTCATCACCTCATTGTTTTATGTTTTGTTTTGTTGACTACAAATTTACCGCATTGGGGTGGGCGGGTGGTGGTGGTGGTGAATGTTTTTCTCTGTTTTGTTTTGTTTCGTTGTTTGTTTGTCCTGTTAATTCAGTACCCCCACCCCTTCACGCAGAGAGAGAGGACTTCGGCGGTTGCTGGGCTCTTAAAAAAAAGAAAAAAAAAAAAAAAAAAGACTGCCGCCACCTTGTGAGTTCACAAAGAGGGAGCTTGGTTGTCACGGCACAAGCCCTGATGTATCTTTTGTTTTGGATGGTGCGTGGATGCGGGATAAATTCCACTGTCCGGTCTGCGTGTGTGTGTTTGTTGGTGGTAGGGGGGAGAAAGGGGGGAGTTGTTGGGCAAAATTCACTTCCCCCTTCTCCCCGGCTGCCTCTTTATTTTGCATTTGTGGGAATATGAAAAAAAGGGGGTAAGAGGCCACACGCTGGGGCTTATGTGCTGCGTGTTTACTGTTCACCTCTCGCCCAGTGTTGGTGCTGTACCTTTCTGTTCATTTTATTCCCTCCTTTTATATGTGTATATATTTTTATTTAGATTTCTCTCTCTCTCTCTATCTGTGTGTGTGTGTATTTGTTTGTTTGCCTGGTTGTCTTGACTCTTTCAGGCTGCAAGACATCTTCCATGTCCTTTTTTTTTTTTTTTTTTTCCTTTCTGCTTGCCTGTGTGTGTGTGTGTGTGCGGTCCTCCCGTGCCGTGCCAAGGACGCATCGCACCAGAAGTGGTGTATCTTGTGCGCTTGTTTTTTTTTTTTTTTTGTTTTTTTTTTGTTTTTTTTCCTTTTCTGCCGCTCTCCGTTTCTTTGCTCACGCGTGGAGGAACGAAAGGAAAAAAGGAAGAGAGCAATACAACAAAACAACCCCGTGCAAGCGAGGAAAAGAAATAATTTGGGAAAGAAAAGAAAAGGAAAGGAAAAAAAAGAGGAAAAAAGAAGGAGGGGCACTCGACGCCATGTCCTCTTCATCCGCCCCTGGAGGGGACTGCGACTATATCTTTAAAATCATCGTCATTGGTGATAGTGGTGTGGGAAAATCATCTCTGACGGTGCGTCTATCAGAAGATGTCTTCTACAAGGACTACGCATCCACCATCGCCATTGACTTCCGCATGCATCAGATGAATTACATGGATAAGCGTGTTCGCCTGCAGATTTGGGACACCGCTGGACAGGAAAGATTTCAGTCCGTTGCCACTGCCTTCTACCGTGGTGCAAATGGTGTGATGCTTTGCTTTGACCTCACTCACCGCCCCTCGTTCCTCCATTTAGATCAATGGATTGAGCGTGTGCGTCAGCAGGCCCTTCCAGGAATACCATGTCTGCTTATTGGATGTAAAAGCGACGAGGCCCGCAGTGCACGACAAGTTTCAAAGGAGGAAGCAACCGCCTGGGCGCAGCAGCACGGCATTTCATACATCGAGACAAGCGCAAAAGAGAAGGAAAACGTGCAATATGCGTTTCAGGAGATTACCAAAGAGATCTTTTTGGATATGAAGGACCGCAACGGGAAGCCAATGGCGTCGGGCGGGAAGAGTGCAGGAAGGTCAGAAAGCGTGAGGTTAGATAGCCAAGGAGGAAGACGCAAAACCTCCGAAAGGGGCAGGTGCTGTTAGCACAAGGCCAAGAAGGGAAGGGATGGAGAAGACAAAAGGGGGGAAATTTGGGTTTGATACCTTTTGCTCGTGACGAAATAGGGGAACAAGGCGGGTTTAGTCCGCGTGCTGCTGCACGAAC